AGTATCATGTACAGATCACAGGTCAACAGCAGCTTGAGCTGAAATATAGTTCCATGAACTTTTAAAGCAGACATTTAGGTCCCTCATTACAAGGCACTTTACCCACTGCATAACTGAATTTATTGTCTCCATGCTGGTAATTCCAACACTCATTTAAATCATAGTTCATAAAAGCTTCTGGAGTGTTGCAAATCTCTCAAATTAACATAGTAAGTACATTAATTTTGCAAATAACAGGGGGACATGAAGATCCTTTCAACACATCAGAAATCAATTGCTTTTACTGGAATTACTTTCTGAAATGCTTCCATATTTTCTATGGGACTGTGCCATTCTATTGTACGCTACAAACATTATCCTGATCACAGAGATAATGTGGATTAAAAAGCATAAATCCTGTTCACACTATCTTGTTTTAGATGAATTTATTCCTCTCTCAGTTGAATGTGAATGTTGACAGCTTAAAGGGCTGCAAAATGCCTTCAATTGTCAACATAAAGATTTTCATGACCTTTTCAATGCAGTCAGGGAACAATACAGCACTACTCCACTCTTGCAAAGCCAGAATTTAGGGAATTTTCACCTGATACAGACTTTTACAAACTTAAGGTTACTCATTGAAGCAAACAGGATTCACAAACACATCGGGTCTATGCTAATGTATCTTAGCTCTTCTGCCTTCTACATTCATTAGAGCTTGGTAAAGTGTGAGTTCTGCAGTTTTAATGGACTTTATTAATAATGCCTGTTTCAGAAACAGAGCAAGCGTCATTGTTGAGCCAGAACCCATAATGACTTGTACATATTTGGAGAACAGCTTTTTTTATTCATGAGAGATGGGGCTCATTTGTATATGAGCGAAGCTATGTAAACTACCAACATAAATTCAGCTCTCCATTGCATATGTGCAAATTTTAAGGTATGAATCAGAAGACGGTGGTACAGCCAAGAAAAATGGATCATATAATTCTTTCCTATTGTCAGGAACAAGCCCACTTGTTCTGAAATATTTCACTTGTATACTAGTAATATATATATATATATATAAGTATATTCTTATATATATGTATATATAAAAATGTATAAATAGAAAAAATGCCAGGTTGTGGGTTTTAGGTAACACAGGTAAGGTACATAATACTTGTGGGTGTCATATAGTGCTTATACTGCAGTTTTTCTTTCTTCAGGTGGTTTCTGCCTGATGACTCTAGACATACAACACAGATATATTAAGTTATTAAGAAAAAAACTTATCAACAGCTGTAAAATGAAAAATAATTCTTCTTCCTTAAGTGATATAAGTCTTTTCCCGCCACTTATTGTGACTCTTGGTTGGAATAGATGTTATCAAAGTTTATAGTAATAGTAACTATTCAGTGTTCTCTCCTAAAGAAATACATCAAAATATTCTCTAGAGACTACCTGAATCAGATAAATTATTACCACTAGTCACAGGTATAAATGGAGAAGCTGAATATTAAAATACATTTAAAAATCTGAATGTTTGATATTTTAAACCTTTTTATAATGATTTGATGTTCATGATTTATTTTCCATATGTTAGGCAACTTGATTTTTGAAGAGTTCAAATTACTTTACCTTCTATATTTCAATATCTTTGAAGACATTGCTGATATAGGGTATTTCTTGTTCCAGTGCAAACAGGTATGTCTATGAATGGCAATACTTTGCTGCAGCAATCTGGAAGGCACTCTTGGAATAAATACCTTCAGAGAGTTCAGATTCTTCTGTTATTTATTGCTACAACATGCCATCCTGCTAGGTGGATGCTTGCCAGATTTCTAACTTCTTCTAAACCAGTCATATTAACATTAAAATAACCTTAAGAGAAAAACTTCTACATTAATTTTGCCCTGCTTTAGAAATTGTGGGCACAGTTGTTGGAATAATGTGTCTGTACAAATTAACTGAAAACTGCCTGATCCAAGTGACAGACTTTACTGTAAATAAGTCAGCAGCTCTGCCATTACCTAGTTCATTGACCTTTGATCAACACCTGAACTTTTGTCTGTAGCTACCGTTAACTGAAGAGATTAGGAAAGGACTGACTTTTTCTATGCATTAATACACAATCTTGCATAATGAAACCCTGATCAAGGTGACATTTTTAGACACTGTCAAGACTTGCTCATAAGTGAACCATTTCTAGGGACTCAAGTGGATACTGTTTGCAATTTTGTGTAGAGTAGTAGCTAAGATGCTCTATTCTGTTTTAGTGTTAATATAAGAATATAAACAGAGCAATACTGATTCATTCCTGATAAACTGAGTGTTGAATTTGGGGCATTTATAACAGAATGATTGATAAGATCACAGCTTAAATGGGACTTTCATAATGGTTCAGTATTTCCTTTGACAAGACTGAAGCATTCAGGGATTTGTCCGGTAAACTTGTTACATAGGAAAACACACAAAGATTTTCCTGAAGGTTCATTTAGGCTTATTTATATTCTAAGTGTCATTTTACAATGACATTATTAGAAACCTTTGTATAAAAATGGAGCATAACAGTGTTACCTGCAAATATGACTCAATACAATGGAATTTTTCTACAGTCTGAAGATTTTAAATTGAAAGCTGAATTTCATGGGATTTTTTTTTTTTTTTAAAGTCTCTATATTAATTCCACCCTTCCTGTTAAATAAAACCCCTGGGTTTTAATCTTAAGGAGATTTTAACTTTTGCTAATTATATTAGGAGTGAGTACAAGCTGTCTTGTATTTGTGGCAGGATGTTATGACAACTGGAAGTTTCTTTGTGTAGAGATCTGGAAGAGATGATGACTTTTGGGACAAAGCAGACAACATTTTTCAACAGCTTTAATACTAAAGACACATGCAAAGTTTCTGTATATCTTAAATTATGCCTTTTGATACATTAACAATTATATCTTCAGCAGATTATCTACACTTGAAAAATCAAACAAGTATAAAGGTTTTCCACATTTTGTGATTCGTAAGAAAGCTTTAAGTTATTAATGAAAAAAAGTAAATCTGATTTTTAAACAATATTGAGGGATATTTTAATTACAGTTAAGATTGGTTTCCAGAGCCTTTTATAGCCAGTGAGTAGAATCCAGATTTTGGATTCTAGAATTTGTAGGAATAGTGATTAATTTCAAAGTTCTCAGTTTGCCCTACAGATATGTATGTCCCTCAGCAGATACTCCACTCTTAAAATAGCTATATCCCAACTCTCCCAATGCCCATTCTTGTTCAGATATACTCTTCCTTCTTGTCTTTAATGAAAATTTTATCTCATCCACTCCTCTTCACACTTAATACAGTTAATTTTGAAATGTTTTATGGGACCTTTCAGTTTTGCACTTCAGTTTATCTCTTTAAATAATACAGGTGTTCCCCTCTGTGTTTCTTTTAGAAGATGGTTACACTTTTTTTTCTGTAATGGTTGCCAAATACAAATTTATTTTTCATACAAGTTTGTCTAGTCCAGTGTTATCAATAAGACAGTGTTGGCTTAAATTCTTCTCAGAATTGTTCTATTTAGTTAGTTTCTATCACATTTCCAAATTAATAGGAATAATGTCTATTTCTAGGATGCTAAATATTACTTTCACCCTTTTTGTTTCCTTTCAGAACAAACATTTTCTGATGGAGCAGAGATGCAGTCAGTGTTGTTTGTACTCATTTTGCCTCACCAGATTCCACTTGAAAGGTTTCAGTCCTAAGGAAAATGTCAGTAGACATTTACTCTAACTGTAGGATCCAGCTCTCTTCAGGACGAGTAGAAAGAAAGATCAGTTCTTTTATTTTAATGTGTTACTGCTAATGGGAACAAGTTAAAATCTTAAAATGAGTTCTTCCTTTCTCAGTTGTTGGTAGTTCTGTATCATGTAATGACAAACCAAACACTGGACCTTCCTGTCACTATTAAATCAGTCTGGATTCTTAAGAGATGGTGGGTTTTCTTAGCATGAAAAGGAGTTGAAAAGGTACTGTGGTGTCTTACAGATCAAAAACATTTAAGAAACTCATGCTTCTATGCAGGAATCTGCAGGATGGACAGTGTCTGCATCCAATCTTGCACTTAAATTCCTCTAAATTCTCATTAATCTACTTTTCCACAATGCTGAGGAAAACATTTACCCATTTTACAATTACGGCGACCAAACACAATGCAACAAATTGCTGTGCCATCTTTCTTGTCAACAGACATAAGTCTAATTCATTTAATTTACACAGAGCTGTGATAGGCCTTTAAGAAGTGTTGAGCATTAGAGACCTTTTCTAATATAAATCCTGTAGCACCCTGAAAACAAAGCCATTGCTTTCTGACAAATGCTACAGCTACAGTAAACTTAGAGACAGCCACCCAATTAAAATGCAAGCTATATTTATAGCTTTAAAAATAAATTAAAAAATAAAGAAGAGAAAAATGTAAGCACAAAGTGGTTTTATATACCAATTTTAGACTTTTTTAAAAAACAGTACCCCAATCCATTTGACACAAGTCCTTACTGCATTCAGTATCATATTGTCAGAGGACCTTCCATTACTGTGTAAGCAGTCAAATTATTACCAGTTGTAATCCATTGACTGTTGTGTTGTCTGCTCCCTATCAGTAGGAAATTGCACTCTGGACACACATTGCTGCCTATATTTTTTAAGTATTTCAAAGAAATATAAAAGGCACTTTTAGCTTTATATAATGGTATTTGGTTACCCTTAATTACCAAAGGACTTTTTCCCTTTCATTCTCCCATGAAGAGAAATTTTACTCTTCTTGAAAAAAGCCAGAGAAATGAAGCTGAAGAGTTAGACCAAGATTCCAACCATATACACTAAAGCTTTTTCTTCAAGATGGAAATTTTTAGCACTAAAAGCTTGTGATATCACCTACCTGAGAAATTTTTGTCCCCATTCAAGAGAGATAGAGCTTCCTAGCTAACAAGTAATATCATCTGTGAATAACAGTTTCTTTATCAGATTTGTGTTTAGTGACCAACCGCGGCTGCGTACCTGGACTGTGAATGAGTCCTCAAAATGCTTCCTATCCTCTGCCAACATCATCTTTTTCTTGCTCAGTTTCTGCTTTAGCCAGCTGCTCCATGAGCTCTTCTTCACACGCTGTACCGTTTTTGTAGCCGTGCTGTAGGATGGGTAGAGCTGTAGGTCATCTGCATTACACTAGCATTTGATTCTGTGTCTCCAGTTCACTTTGTAGTTGTTTGGTGAAAAGACAGTAAAATAATTGATCCTTCTGAGAATACACAGATGAAGAGCCTTAGTTTCTTCCACTGCTCCTTGAAAATGTGTATTTTTAGGGAAGTGTCAAATCCTTTGAGTCTAGTCTTTAAACCTGTCCTTCTTTGAAGTAGGATGTGTTGTGTGACTTTCCAAATTTGTTATACCATTTTCCTAATTTTCCTCTCTCTTTTATCTTCTTACTTACCAGCTCTATTATTATTATTATTATTATTATTATTATTATTATTATTATTAAAAAGAGGATGTAAAAGTAGAAGAAATTTTAAGACAGTAGAGAGGAAAAGTGAGTGGAAGAACGGAATTAGTTTCTCCTGCAAAATCAAACTTGGAATAAAAATACACTTCCTTTTTCTTTAGGGGGAATAAAAATATTTCCCACCCATTAATTATACTATACTTTAAAATTAATGACATTTTATATGCTAGTTTATTTTCCTTTAATCCATTGCTAAATTGATGCTGGACGCCACAGTCTGCAAAGCCTTGCTGTCTCTGGAGTCATATAATGTCCCTTTCTGGTGTGATACCACCTCACTGGTGAATTAAGGCTAGTCAAAGACCTTCCCATTGATGCTTCCAGGAGCATTGAAGAGATCTTTCAGTACAGCAGTATTTTTCTTGTCATCTTTTTTTATATCTGCAGGAATATGTGATTCTGCTAATTAAATGTTAAACATAGAGGAAAATGTAAGACTGGAAGGTAAGTCTTTGTTAAATGTATAAACCACAAAGGAATAAGATGTTGCTATGATATTCTCTTTTTTTTTTTTTTTTTTTTTTTTTTTTTTTTTTTTTTTTTTTTTTTTTGTCCCTGTCCAGTGAGTTTATTCAAATTAGCAAATTATGTCTTAGACTAAGTTGTTCAAGAGCATAATACAAAAATTCACAGTTCTTTGTAGCAGGTCATATCCCTAGGTGCTTTGGCTTTCATAAGAACAATTGACCTGTAGTAGGTTCATGGAATTTCATTAGGATCATTCTTTTGCAAGATTAGGAAATCACAAAGTGTAAGGAAGGAATGAGCTTTTCACCTAGGCAATGCTATCTCCTTAATCAGGAAGTCACCATTTCCTCTTGAAGGTCTCCCAAATGCAGTTCTCTTCCTCTTTCTCACCCTTGCAGTCTGCCTCAGAAACAGTTACCAATGATTGCTTCCTCTAGTTGATAAATAGTAATAGCTGTGGAAATGATCTAAGCTTGTTAGTGTGATTACTACTCACTGATGTCTCCTTTAGTCTTGTAGGGATGGTACCATAAATTTTACTATTTACAGGTCTTGTTATAACTATCATGTGTTTTCCTGAGATTTTGGGAAGGGCTGTGGGATGTTAGCCTAAACCTCTCCTTTACTGGCTTCTAATTTATTAGGCTCTTCAGAGCTGGCCCTTGGGAAGCCTAATGTTGCTTGCAAAAGGATTTATTATTGTTCACAATAACTGTAACATGGTAATTTTGTTATCTCTGTTTCCATTCTTTATCTCTCCACATGCGTAGTCTGCCAAAAACTTTCTATTTCTATCACACAGTAAATAAGGAAATGGTTGTTCCAGTTCCATGCTTCAATATGTCCTGGAAAAGTTTGCTTAAAAAAAGCTTGCCTGCATATAAATGAGTTGGGTTGGCAGTATGTTTTAAAATTTATTGTTATGGGTAATTTGAAAATAACTGAGAGAAATACATAGTAATTTCTTGACTGCTGTTGTCATGGGTTTCTGGGGGGTGGATAACTTGAGCAGGAGAGAAGTATTTATGTAGTTTTCTGTGGAAATTAACTAAACAGTTTGATTTTTTTTTTTCAGCATATTTTCCCCCACATAAAAATAAGATAAATAATATTTTTGGAGGTATAGGATATGTTTGTGCTAGATGTTTCCAGGATATTAGTACTGGAGCTGTAATGCCTCAGATACAGCTACAGTATAGTTCTGCTGAGTCCTGCAAACCTGCATGTTTGCAATGAGTTGCATGTCATGGGAATTGATGCTAAGCAGCTACGACTGAATGAGAGAAAAAAAATGTTTGTTTGCATTTGGATATGTGTGTGTTTGCAAATGTAAAGGTAGTCCTGTGCATTGCCAGTTCCTACCTCCTTTCTATTACAATTGCAATTTCAGCACAAAGAAAAATATTGTTATTTATTTTCCTTCCACACCCATAGTCCCACCTCATTTCATTATATTAAAGAGACATGTCCATCAGAGCTGTTTAAATGCTCTTGCAGAAGCATGCTACAGTCTGTGGCGCTTGTTTTGGAAAATGTCATGCATTCATGTTGTTTTTTTTACAAACAATTATTTCATCTATGTTATGTTTAGCAATGTTTGACTAATACTTTGTATAATTAGGCAAAGTCATCCACTATATATATTTTCCCTATCATTTAATGCAAACATGAGGTAGGCTTAAAGTGTGCATATTAGCTTTATTAATATTAATGCCACTATCTGAATATTTCCTTTCTTGAAGATATAAATTATTTTGCTAATTTCATACTTAATGGCCAGTAGCACATTCAGAATACATATTCCAGTTCTGATGAGATCAAATAGACATGTTCCATGATGTGCATTATGCAAATAAAAGATGCATAACTCATTAAAAAAAACCCCTGTAATGACAGTCAATTATAAATCATTTCGTTAGCTTTTCAGCACTGCAGCTTTGGGAAGCTTCACCCATATAATTTGCTGTCTTGTACCTTAATGTATTAACTCCTTTTAAAGGCAGTAATGTCTGCCAAATGAAACAACAGAGCATTTTAATTCATGTTTAAAGCAGGCATACAGTTGTCATATTGCAGCACCACTAATTCAATGCTGAAGACTTCTTTACTACCTGGTATGCATTTTAAATGAAAAAAAAACAAACATACTGTGAGGAGAAAGCAATACTTACTTGAGAAGGATTCTGCAGGATCTGTTCTGCTAGTCCACAGACTGAAATGATGGTGCCAGATTTAGAAGTAGCTTATTAGGTGCATGCTGCTTCAACAGTTACAGCTTTTCTTTTTTTTTTTAACTGAAAGATGGAATCATTTTCTTTTAATGAAGCCAGCATAGAATGATATGCTGTCCATGTTGCTATGAGAGACTAAACTTGCAGAGCAAAGTCAAGCAATTTCAGAATAACTTATCAAGGGTCATTCACTATCAGCTTGCCACTGCTTTTCCGTGTAGTCACAAACTTTAGCGACATCAAGGAAGATCATGGTATGTCACAGATGCAGGAGATTACTGGTTAGTCATGCTCACTTGAGATTGAAAGTGATTGAATCAGTATTGTTTGTGAATATAAGCAGAAAACTGGGTAAAGCCAAAATCTTTCAAATTGGAACACCCACTGAATTCTTTTAAGAGGAGACAAGGCTCTGATTACAGTCAGTCTGCAGTACCTGCTACTCTTCTATGCTCTGGTATTTGTATGTTGTGTCCAGAGCTCCAACCTGGAGAAAAGAGTGTAGGAACTGCACCCAAGGGATCACACAGATGTGAAAAATGATGTGTTTTGGTTTGCCTTTCATATTTTGTGAGAAAAAGGATTGGACATCACATTTTTTGTGTGTACACAAACCATTGCAAATATAAAGACATGTAATGAGGGTTATAAAATCATCCGCATATATCTATGTATTTACTGTATAAAACCACACACAGTTTTGGACTTTTAGTGATGTTGAAACATTGCAATTATAAAGACATGTAATTATGGTTATAAAATGATCCACATGTATCTGTATATTTAACATATAGAACCATGCCTAGTTTTGGATTTTCAGTGATGTCACCATTTTAAGCATTTAAATGGTTTTGTTAAAAGTGTGCCTGTGGAAATCCCACCACAAATATGTTCATCATGGCCCAATAATGAATGATATCTGCAGTATTGCACTGCATATGTAAATTTAGCCCTGCATTTTGAAACATTCTTTTTTTGTCTTTTGTGCCAAGGATGCTTTCAGGTAGAAAGAGATCTCTGATCTGTTTGTCAATTAGAAATTACTCTGAGTAGTCAAGTTTTGGCTTATCCTGATTTGGTTTGCCCCAAAGACTGGATCTTTCATCTCTAATGTGGAGACGCAGGTGAACTGTGCAGAGGTGGGGAATGGCCAGCGGTAGCCACACACCCATGCCTTGACTTGGAAAAAAAAGAGGTCAGGGGACAGGGAAGGAGAACTGGTTACAGTAAATTACTGTATTGCTGCTGTTGAGTTCTCATATGCATCCCAGTCTGAGTGGACTTGCTGAGGAACTTCCCCTTACAGTTGCTCCTTGTCAGCTGTCAGAAGATTTGTTTTTATTCCCACTAAGTTTTGATCATTGAACAATGTGCAAGAACTTGGCTGTTAAAGGAGGCAGATCTTCACAGCATCTCCGGGGGTAAACTTAACAGCAGCACCTTTCACTAGGAAAAGACCAGATCTTCCTTTTTGAAAGACAATGATTAATGCCTCTGTACTGACACTGAATTCAAAACTCAGCAGAAAGTTCTGGAACCCATCACTCATTGCTTCTTACAGCTGCAAGGTATGGACATAGAGCAGAGGTTTGTAGCTCATGATTCCTGGTATCTTCATGAGTTGAACTCCTGTAACCATAGCATCTTGTAACTACATTCCTACTGTTCCCATTTGCTTTAACTGACAGTGATATGGAAAATATTTGGCTGCTCTTTATTCTGTTTGGCTTTGTGATTTTTTTTGGGGGGTGGGGGAGGAAGGTGGTGGTAGGTGGCAGTAGTTTGGTTGGTTTCTTTTCTGGTTTAGTGTTTTGTTTGTTTGTTTGTTTGTTTGTTTTCAAAGCAACAAGACTGCTGCATTGCTCTGTAACTAGTTTTTCCACAATAAAGTCTCTTGACTGGCAAATTCTTCTCCTCAAGCTCCATTATATCTGAGAAGCAGACTGGTGTGTTCAAGCCAAATGCAGACGGGCAGTCATTGTATGCCAAGACCTCCATGTATGGGAAGAGAGAAAGACCAGAGCATTCTTTTGAGAAATGGCATTTTTTCCCAGTGAGTTGGCATGAGAGGAAAGGAAATGACTTTATTTGCAGACTTTGCCTTAGCTACTGACATACCTACAGCTGGGAGGTTAAAGAGCCAAAATATTGGTCAGCCCTTTGTGCATACCTTTTTTCTCTTTGGGTCTTGCAGGCTTAAAAACGTTTTTTCAAAGTGTTAATGGTCAGCTCCAATTTAGCCCCATGGAATTCCAGTTCAAGTTTCCAAATGAAAGTAGGGCAAGGCAGAGGAATTCTTCGTTGAACAAGCTTCTCTCATGAACAACAAATAACTCTTTATTTCCTAATTCCTTTTCCATTTTTCTATCTTCTTCGCTTGTTTTTCCTTTTGCATACTCTGCTGTGCTGTACCAAACAAGTCTTCTTTCAATTCCTATCCCTCTTTGAGCAGAGCTTTCTCCTGAATCCATAATCCTATTATGAAGTCCTGTATAGGACACGTGAAGCTTCTCAGAATGAATGGCTGGCACAACCACTGAGCTTGGAGAAAGATACACGATTTATGATCACTAGGCTGGCTGAGAAAACAGTAATATGATTGATTCTAAGTATATCTTGAAGAACACTTCTGTTTAACCACACATTCTTTCTCTTCTTAATTTTTTTTTTTTTAATTCCACCTTCCTCTTTTCTCAGTAAAATTATTGCTAACAATAACCCCAGCAGCAGTAGGAAAAGAAAGCGCAGTCAAGGCTCAACTTTGCATTTCAGTAGTAATGTTACTGGAGTCTTTGGTCTTGCCCTTTTATAGGATTTGAACTGAATATTTTAAAACTCATTCAGTGTGAGGGGCACAGGTCTCAGAATGGTGACAGAAAAAAAATACAGTGAATCAGATATTTGTAAAAGTGGTGTTCTGATAGGTAAAAGCAAAAGTCTAGGGCAAGACTGGTACCATTGTTCAGTTGGTCATTGATTGTATAACATGACTTTTTTAGCTTGTTGGTAATTTTATATGGACAACATTTTATTGTACCAAACAGAAAAAGGATTAAGTCTTCCAATTCATTCCAGCTTAACTTGAATGAACAACAGGGATTTCCACAGAAATACTGTTGGGTAACTTCAAGTCTATTCTAAGTGTCTATGAAGAGTGCATCTATATTGATCTCAGGTAAAACATGTGAAAATAGTTACAACACTTAAATGATAATAGAATCTTTGGAAAGTTTAGTGTCTACTGTTATATTCTCTCAGTGCCACCTTCTTTCAGCATCATGTTTTAAATTCTTGTTATAAATACTCTCATCATCTCAAATCTAGACATAGAAAAACCAAACTTAGAAGCTGAAAAACTGCTCAATACAAAATAAAACATAACTCTTAAACAAAGAAAGTAGTGTTTGCTGAAAAATATTGCTATGGAATATGATAAATTCTTGAAAATTTGGATTTTTTACTAAATTTCACAGAATCCCAGAATGCAATGGGTTGGAAAAGGCCTTAATGATCAACTATTTCCAACTCCTCTGCAATGGGCAGGGACACTTTCTACTAGACCAAGTTGCTCAGAGCCTCATCCAACCTGGCAATGGACACTTCCAGGGATGGGACATCCACAGCCTCTCTGGGTAACTTATTCCAGCTTCTCACTAACCTCATAGTAAAGAATGTCCTCCCAATATCTAATACTGTGTCTGAATTGTATCTTATGTTTTTAAAAGAAGCCTGCTTTGTGCTGTCCAGGCACTTTATTTGCTTCCCATGTTCAGAGCTTGGAAATGTCTTTTAAAAATTTTTCACTGCTATGCCATGGGAAGAAATGTCATGAACAAAGTAAAATGGAATGGCCATTTCTCTTTGAATATATGGGGTTTTCCATTCAAGTGACCAACCATTATGGCTAATTCAAGGTCTTTAATTTTTCTTGCTTATACTCCCTTCATGGAATGATGTAAGCAGGGAATTTGGAGAAAAATTACTCAGTCCTTGCCTGTGGGGAGTATTTTCTAATGCTATGATGCAAAATAAAAAAAGGGGCTGGGGAATGGGCACCAGAATCCTTCCCTGACAGTCAAATGACAGTTGTGCAAAATTTCATAATCCCCAGACTTTAATAGGGAGAGAGAGAGAAAGGGGGCATTGGTATTCCTTTGCTGACTCAAAATCTACAGAGGAACATTGTCAGGGTGCAGGCAGAGCTGGGGGCTCACAGAAGCAAAGAGCCACAGGGGTTTCCCAGGTGCTGGTGGGGCAGGGTCCTTGACTGCTAGAGCCATATGTTTGTCCTGTAGTGTCTGTCTGTGGACACCCCTGGGGAAAGTCATAGCCTGCTGGTGACTGGAGTGGCTCGTTAATAACAGAAGACTTAGGAAGGATTGGTCCTGCAAATGCCTTATACGGATACAGCAGGACTTCTGGGCAAACATAAAGTCATCCCTTAAAATTGAAGATCTGGATATTTGCTGAGTTTGACCTCAGTCTGCAAATAACCTCAACTGCTCTGAACCTTCATTTCTAAAGAAAAAATAAAATGCCCAGCTTGTATCCTGAAGACCTAAGCTGTAGCTTGGCTGGGGGGTTATTCAGTCTTTTTAAGTCCTCTGGGATTGTTCAGAAAAATAAATGTGTCTCATCTGGCTGCAGTACTTATCACTGTCAAGTGTAATCAAATATGGGGAGAGAAGAGAAGGGATAACTTTGCAAGAGGCGTTTACTGCAAATTCAGGCAATATAAAGAAAGTTCCCTTTCATGTGTGCACTAATCTTTTCTCCCACCATGTTTATCATTCTCCACGCATAGCCTGCTATCTGCACATCAGTCACGCTCAACTTTCAGCAGCCTGGCTATTGCACACCTACGCACAAATTCCCACAGTCTTCATTCATTTCAGATTTGTGTCAGCATCTAAACACCTCTACGGAAGCCATGGCACACACAGAAAATTAATGTTGTTAATGAGAGTGTTTGTGAAGAGTCCACTCTTTTGCTGGGAGATTGAAATTCTGGGCACTTGTAAGACATACTTTTTATTCCAGTAAAC